TCCCTTGTCTTTGTCGGTAATACTATTCTGCCTATAGATATATATATATGTATATATAATTGATATTCCCGATCACAACCGACAGGACAACGGGCTCGTGGCTCAATGGTAGAGCTTCAAACTCCATGACCAAAGATCCCGGGTTCGAATCTCAAGTGATCCACACTTCGGGCTTGGGTATGACTGGCTGATGACGGCTAATAAGCCAGAAATGGCCCTTTCGGTCTCCCTTGTCTTTGTCGGTATCACCTTATATATATTATATAAGCAGCTAATAAAGCGTGTAACAGGCAAGATGCCGATAGATGTTTCGCGGTCGTTACCGATTATAATTTCGTCATAAGCCTTATGAGGTCTGGTATATAAACACGTCTAGTAGTCGTGTGACCCCCACTGTTGTGGTTAGAATCTCGCCCGATCTGACTCTTTTCGCCCGCAGGTTGTTACTAGCGACAACAAACGTTGTGTCATAGGACACATACTACATATAATACATAAGCAGCTCACTAAGATTATAACGAGCCATTCTCAGGCAGCTGTTTACATACCTCACTTCATAAGGTCTATGGCACACTGGTGATCGACAACGGCCGTGAAACAGTCTGTTGCACTCTTAGTGAGCTGCTTGCGTATCACACAACGTCCGTCGTCGCTAATAGCAAGCTGGCGGACGAAAAGAATGGGATCGAGTGAGATTCTAACCACAACAATGCGGATCACACACCTACTCGACATAAATGTGTATGTATATGCAGATTTAGTGATAACGGCAAAAACATGGGAGACTAAAAGGACTAATTCTGTCTTATTAGGCGTCAGCAACCAACCATACCCAACGCCAGTTTTGGAGCGCCTTGGGATTCGAGCCCCGAATCCTTGGTCATTGAGTAATGATGCTCGACCACTGAGACAGGGGCCCGTTGTCCTGCCGGTTGCGATCTAAAATATTAAGTTGGTTATTACTGCGTTCACCCATCGGATTACGAACATGCTCGTTCGGTTGTGCCTTTGAGCTCAGTACAGAACCTTCAGTCACGGCAAAACCTGAGTTCAAGTAAGGCTGGGTGATGACGGCTGATAAGCCGGAAGTGGCTAATTAAGTCTGCCTTGTCTTTGACAATTTTGCAGATTGGTACAAAACTGTCGCGGGCTTATTCTGTTTGAATCCATCTATTCAAAGTCCCGATAGCCATCTGCGAACAGAACCACGAACACCCCTTAGAAGAAGACATATGCATACATCGCTGAAAGGATATTCGCCAGGGTTAGGATGCGATTGGTTGACGACGACTAACATACCAACAATAACCTTCTTAGTCTTTCGCGTCCTTCCCAGACAAAGCCCATCAGTAACTAGACACCTAGCGTATTCGGCATACACTTATTCTAATAAATAGCTGCCCGATTGTGGCATCGGCCATCTTTTCGAAGCACCTTTGCAAGCTTCAGGAGGCCAATGGATTGCTGCGCGCCGACTTTCCCGCACCAATAAATAACCCATCTGTAATGATAGAGACTGCCAGATGGCGAGACACTGAGGATGTTATGTTAAACGAATCTTGTAAGAACCTTTAGACAGGCCCCCTCTATGGAACATCTGGGCTGTTTTTATGCACATGTTTATGTTCCTCGTCTCAGACCACCGCGGTTATAACTGGCAGACAGAAGGCAGAACAAGCCCGAACTGGCGTTGTATCAGTCTGCCCGCATTCACGTCGTTACAAAACCTGCTATATATGTATATTTATAGGCAAGGGGGATTTGGATGGACATTGCGGACTCATAAGTGGTCTTTGGTCCTTATAAATATGTATTTTAGCCGTTGGAGGACGCCGTGTTGTGGTTTTTGAACCATGGCGACCAGTAATATATATATATATATATGGTGTAGCTCAGAGGGGGAATGCATTCCGAGTAGATATAATGAAAAATAGAAGAGGTTCTTCGGAAGAACCTCTTCTATTTTTCATATATATATATATATATATAATGTATACATCAAGCGAATAATTTCTAAAATTATTCAGTACAAGGCATGAACTTAAGTCTTCGTAACATGACTTATTAGGGTCAGACCAAAATTTCAAAGGCCATTCATGTCGAATACAGTCAGCTACCGCGAAATAACCACGTAATGCCCATTCTAAAAACAAGTATTGCTACGAGTAGTGTGAAGTGCATGTGCCAAACGTATTATACCGCACTCCCGGCATAGGTACTTACTAAAAGCCTAGACACGTATTTTGCCGATATTCTGCCACTGCGTGACACAGCTGCGATAGGTCAAAGCCTGAAAAGTCATGTCCCAGATACTTAACTCCATGTCCAGCATTGGATAATTTGTGAAATTATTCGCTTGATTATTCTCTGGAGTTCATATGCCAGAAACCGCGTAGGGGACGCTGGGAGACCCACTGAGGAGCTGACCCCCTCGCAACTGTGTCACGTAGTGGCAGCAGATCGGTGAAACGCGTGTCTGGGCTAGTAGTTGGTACTTATGTCGGGAGTACGGTATATTACGTCTGCCATATATATATATATACACATATATTTTGGGTTTTAAAAAATACTTTAGACTTAGGAAAGTGAATAGAATACGAAGAAGAATTGCAAATGCATATATGCATATACATTAATTTATGTAGGGAAAACGTAGAATTTTCAGGTTCATTTTAACTGCAAAACTGTCCCATTTTTAAGCCGATAACTACCAGAGAGAATTTCAGACCGTCATCCGTGACGGCGAATTCTAAAGCAACTACTGTTTCCAGCGTCAGCCTTATTTTACTTTCTATATTTGTTAATGCATGAGCTTATTACTTAATGCATGTTTTCGGAGCAAATTTCCCGGAACAGACGTTCACAGGTTCACTGCAAAATTTCTGCATATTTGGACTGACGCTCGTCATCTTCAGCGGACTAACTGCGGATGCTAAGAGTGTGGTAAATTAATCAGTATTCTTATGCTACTGTCTGCCACCAGAAAGAGAATATTACGCGATTATTCCGTCGAAGTTGATAGATCCAGCCCAAACATCTATGCCATCTATAAAATCGAACATTTGGAGGTTGTGCAAATTAATGCTTGGTAAAATAAACAAATAAAAACTTAAAAAGCAAAGCTTACAAGTTGGCACGTTTTCAGTAAATTCATCTGTAGGCCAATGCAGTTACATAGAAATTGGGAATATGGGGCGTTCACAGGAATTATAAGTGTCTTAGGAGTTATTAACACTCGTCGTTCCCACGCTAACCGCATGACGAGGCCCGCGTGTTATGGGCGGCGTGATAACGATAAGTGTTAATTACCACTGATGCACTTATAAACACTCTGAAGGTCTCGAATTTTCACTTACTATGGGACTGTACTGGCCAGAAGATAGATTTACCGAAAACCCGTGTTTGCCAACTTGACTTTCCAAATGCGATATTGCAGTATTCGCAGAACTTACATAGTCTAAAATAAAAACTTATATCTCAAGATTTAAAATACTTTAGATATTTAAAATAATTGAAGTGCATTCTAGACAGGAAAATGTAATCGCTGGAACAAGATGTTTACTGGCCTAGCATTTCGAATTCTTACTCTAACCCCATCCAAAGAGAGAGAGGGCATTTAATTCGACGGGATCCAGTCACACCTTTAAGCATGGTAAGGCCGAGATGCTCGCTTGCGAGAGTTAAGAATACGGTGAACCGCGAGATGCTGTTGTCGAGTTACAAGTGCATTGACCTTCCGCCATCATATCCCTTGCTGAGACTTTGCCTGGACAAAGTATTTGGTCACGAGGGAATGGCGCGGGCGACCAAAAGTTCGAGCGACAACAAGCCAAATCACGCTAAGAGTCAACAACGGTGATTAAATCACAGAAATTACTGCTTCCGGTATAGACTCACAAGCCATCGTCATATGGAATGCAATCCCTTTCTCCAAAAATAAACGGTATTTGTTGTGGGCATGTCGGTTCGAATTAGGATCATATGCATCAACCCAATGAACGTTTTACCCCGCTGATCGCATCTTCTTCCTCTGAAGTGCTTCCTGGGACTCACATATTCGCCTCTGTCGGTGGAACCGATAGGGTGTAAGACCCACAGATAGATGGCAACTACGAAAATATACCCTAAAATTCGGTGTGACTGTGAACATCGGTCATAATTCACTGTTCCCATTGTTTGACATTTCCTTACCTGCTTGAATAAATGTAATCTTACCAGCGGCGCTTTATTCGAAGTCCGTAATTTTGAAACTTGATTTTTGTTTTTTTAATTAACGCGCTAATCTTCATTGCCAAAGGACAGCGTAGGAAAAGCCCTTCGGCAGACATTTATTTTTTTCTGTGTCCTGAGTGTTGCCCCACCCGTAAAAAGCCTCTACAAACACTCAACCTATGACCCTGCCTACGGGGCTATCTCAAGTTAGTTGTGGGTCCTACAACCTATCGTTGCCCTATCCGCAAGGCACATTCTTCCCCTCTTTAGTCTAAAGGGCCCAAAGTTGCTGTAGGGGTAAAAACGCACGCAAGTGCCGAATTTGTCGAACAGAACACCTGAAGAAGTACTTTTTTTCTCGAAGACGTGAAACAGTAACAAATGTCATCCGTTGTTTTTTCTCTCGAGTTACGCCTAGGCGGAACGAGTAGCCTGCTGGGAACAGCGCGCAACATGGTACAGGCGATTCACAAAAAAATCCAGTACGCCATTCGGAGATGTCAGCTGGTCGACGGAGAGTACCAGAGGGACTTCGTAGGTGGGAGGTTACGCAAGGCGTCAAGATGTTTGAAAATCTTTAGGTGATTTCTTTTCTTCCCGAATAACATCTGAACGATGGGTACTTGCAAAATATGTTTTAGATGCAAAATAAGTGTAGATCACATGATGGCGCAATGCGTGGCATATGGGAACCCTTCAGAATTTTCATCGGATGCCAACAAAGTAAGAGGACTTGCGGAAATTGTGCTGCCGCTGTCTGCTGTGCTCTCATTGCGGTGGTGGTCGCGATGCTACTGCTTATTCTGGTTTGTGGTGGTGCTCGTTGTGGATGCGATCCTAGTGGCAACGGAGGTGGTGTGGGCAGTGGCGGCAGGGTTGATGATATTACTGATAGCGGTAGTAGTGGTAGTAGTAGTAGTAGTAGTAGTAGTAGTAGTAGTAGTAGTAATGGTAGTAGCAGTGCTGGTGTCGGCGGTGATGGCGATGGTGATTTCGGTGTTGTTCGTGTTGCTAATGGTTGTGGTGGTGGTGGTAAAGATGGTGTTGACGGTAATGGCGATGATGATGGTGATGGTGGTGGTGACTGTGGTGATCAAGGAGATGGTTTCGATGTTGGTGGTTGTGGTGGTGGTGATGATGATGCTGGTAGTAATAGTGGTGGTGGTGGTGGTGGCGACGGCGGCGGCGGCGGTGGTGGTGGTGGTAGAGTGGTAATTGTGGTGATAGTGGTGGCGATGATAGTATTAGTGGTAGTAATATTAGTAGTGGTGTTAGCAAAGATGGCGATGATGGTTGTGGTGGTGTTGGTGGCAATAGTAGTGGTGGTGTTGACGTTAATGGCGATTATGGTGGTGGTGGTGGTGGCGGCGGTGATGGCGGTGGTGTTGATGGTGGCGGCGGCGACGGCGGCGGCGATCGGGTGTTTTTGGAGGGAGGCGTGGGTTCTACTGATGGTGCCTGTGAAAGTGACTGCTCGTTGTGGCTGATGATGATGGCAATGAGGTTAGTGGTCCCGATGTATGGAAGCAAAACAAATGAACGCTCAAAAGTCGTTGCGGTTGGAGAAATTATAAGCAATAGTCAGCAGAGGATAGTAAAGCAGTGTTGAAAATAATGGCTTATATTACGGAACATATCAACCAGCACAAATGCCCATCGAACTTAAAAGCAACAAAACCAACGAAACGACTGCAGCAGGCGCGCAGGCTTTAAGGAGGCACAAAAAACATTAAAGTCAAAAACAAACACATTTATGTGGATTTATGGACATTTGCTGTCCTCCAACACCTGTGCTGAATAAGACCAATTAGATCCTAGCCTGCATTTCTATATCGCCGAGGGTTGGTTACCTCTGGTTCATGGGGTCTCCTTCAACGCTGATGCGGCCGTCTGCTCGACGCCACATCCATCCTCATTATGCAGTATAAAATGTTGGAGATACTCTGCAGATCCGCAGCTGCGGTTAACGACCAGTACTTCAACATGCTAACCGAAATTCGGAAGCGCGTTTCCAATAAGGGAGGATAACTAGGGTGGGATTTTAACACTGTTATCGACCAGAAAAATCCCAAAATACATTACTCATACCTGAGTGTCGGCTAATGATTACCCTTTTTGCGGCCACCTGATGAAACTACGTTTCATAAAATAATAAAAACTAAGAAATGTGGTTTTTTGCTTTCCCATGGCTTTTGAATTCAAATGTATTTTAAAGAAACTGTGAACAAAATTGTCTTTGCCTGTACTCATTTCTTAGCAAATTATATCTTATTTAAGCCATATACTCAAAGAAAGGGTGTCCTCTGGTCTTAAATCTGCTTTTAAATTTTTGAATATTTGAGACTTATAGAGCCAGACTGAACTTTGATACAAATATTTGGTCCGAAGCCACCAGCAACAGCGGGATAACCGCGTAATACTAATTAACCGCAGACAGGCACCCAGTATTATACAGTGTTTGACAATCGACTACTTTTCAGTCTTTTACCCGAGTTGACTGTCTAATGCGATTTGAAAGAGCAGTTATGTTTGGGTTCACAATGTTTACCGAAAGTCAGTATTTACGGTTATTTGTTAGAAATTACTCAGAAGGAACGCGTTAGATTTCACAGCGAGCCGTTATAAGTAGCTGGGACTGTTGTTGTTGTTGTGGTGGCGGCGGCGGCGGCGGTGGTGGCGGTGGTGGTGGTGGTGGTAGTGGTGGTGGTGTTGGTGGTGATGGTGGTGGCGGTGGTGGTGGTGGTGGTGGTGGTGGTGGTGGTGGTGGTGGTGGTGGTGACTCAAGGAATATAGGCGCCTGCTATGCCTAATCAACAATTATGGTCGTCGCACTCCGGTGTGCACTAGCAGTTCCTTGGCACGTGGTTCCCTACCGGTAGATGCGTTTGAGGCCCCGCTGGGTGCACAGGTCGTAAGCATGGCTGCCCAGTCATCCCCGTCTATTCTGACCCGTTGTGCCGCTGGTCATTAGTTAGAATCCTGGTCAACTGTTTGTTTTGGACCAGGAGGTGTGCTGGCACGGGTATGTGCGGGTCCGGTCGTGCCAGCCACCTGCGCCCTCCCTCACCTCCAGTCTTCTTAACTGTCCTGACACCGGACCCAGGTGGGGAGGAGGACAGAGTGCGATAGGCGCTGTGCAAGTATGCTCTCACTATATACATGCGTAAGTCACCGTGTCAGCTCCACCTTGCTGTAGAGTATACGGTGGACATCGTCGGGCACAACAGTCGAAGTGTCATCGCTGGTGGTAGTGATGGTGGTGTCGGCGGTGATAGTTGTAGTCGCAGTGTGAGGTGGTGATAATCATCGTGATGGAACGGGTGTAGGAATGTTGTCACCGGTGGCTTACGAGTTTTGTAAAAGAACTCAGCAGTGAAACTTCTCTTCTCTTAGCCCAAAGAGGGTGAAACCTTACGTCGGATGGGTTTTTACACGTCGAGCTTTCTCAAAAAAACGAATGGGAAACGTAAACAGACCTCGACTTTATGACAATGTCGGCTTATCGGCTTGACCTCACCTGACGATTATTTAAGAACGTATTCCTTTTGTCAATCACGGGTGTTTATCATATTATTGCTATGTTAAGAAGATTCCAAGAGGTCCCAGTTTTCTCCCTGCACTTATTTGGTCAACCATGACCTTGAACAGAAAACACTAAGGTGTCAATTGCTAAAAATAGCAAATTGACCCAGCACAGAAGAGTTTGTACTGAGGCGAAAATGAACTAATCACCGCTCGATTTTCAGTCGAGCTAGCGGCATGAAATGTGTCATCCCCCTCCTTTACTGTCACGATTTGCAACAATTGTTCTGTGGAGAATGAACATCTAAAAGGTGTACTCATTTTCTTAGCCAGCGTAATTGGCAGGCTTCGTAGACAGACCTAAGTAATATGCGCGCTTCAGATTTTTAAATTACAATCTTTTATAAAACCAAATATTCCGTTCTTAAAATGCTAACCTCCTATGCAGTGACTCAAAGAAGCCACTTTTGCGACATTTCATTAAAAGTATATGCTGCCTTATACATTTTGACCCAACTGTGAAAAACTCAGCGACCTCGGTAGTATTCTAATCCATGACAACAGGGGAAGGCTTCAGTACAGCCAACACTCTGACCGCCTGAACTGCGAGGCCCCACCAGAAGAAGTGGATCTACTGCAACGTCAGTAGGGCAACCAAATGTGATTAAACTCACTGCTTCCGGTGGGGCCTCGAAACTCAGGTGGCCAGAGCGTTGGCTGTACTTAAGTCTTCCGCTTCCTGTCGTGGGTCCAAATCCCAGCGAAGTCGCCGGAGTTTTTACATTTAGGTCAAAATGACTTACTCAAAATCTCTCAAGACACATTTTATTTCTTTTACCAGTTAGAATCAACTCCCGGGCTAGGTGATCTATGAGGTCCTACCGGGAGTCGTGAGTTTAGACATAGTTGGGTCAAGTTACCCGCCCAGCTTACTGCAACGCATGGAATCCACCAAATCTGATCCAGTAGGCTGACTGCCCAAGCAGGATTTCTTAGGAAGTCGATCTAGAATCCACAAGATGACTACCAGGCCCACGTAATTACTAGCTGTTTTGGTAGATTTTAGTAGATTTTGACCCATCTGTGAAAAGCTCGGCAATCTCAGTGGGACCAAACCCATGACAGCAAGGTGAAGGCTATCTAATAAAGCAGGCCGTGAAAGTGCAATCCAAACCGGTGGTCAGAGTGATTCGCAGTCCCAAACCAGCGTACCCTGTTACACCAGTGGCCTGGAGAGTTGGATCGTCGTTTCCGACGGTATCCACCGTGTGCCCCACAGATAAGTAGGCCCACCTCGCGATTGAAACCGTTCCGTCGCTGGTCGGAGAAGTGGCGCAGTTAACTGTCTTAGAACCCAAACCTCTAATGCAGTAAGTGATCGCACAACTGTACGTACTGTCTAGACATCACTCCGTCTAACTTCCCCAAGGGTACCCCCCCAACAGTAGTTAGTAGTCATTCAATTCTGATTGGAGCATTGTGACGTGAGGGGTGAGGGTGGGGGGAGGGGAGGAGGGCGCAGCTGTAGTACCGTGATTTGAGCTGGAGTTGGCGACGGGGACTTGGGTGTGACGGAGGAGTTGCCGCTAGGACTGGCCAGATTCTCGGCCAGGAGAAGCTGCCAGAGGTCGCCGAGCTTTTCACAGTTGGGTCAGAAGAAAATATTCAAAATCTACCAAAACACCTGTTAATTACGTGAGCCTGGAAGTCATCTAGTTGATTTTAGATCGATGACCTAACAAATCCTGCTTGGGCAGTCAGCCTACTGGACCAGATTTGATGGATTCCACGCGTTACAGGAGGCTGGGTGGGTAACTTGGCCTAAAAGGGATTAAACTCACGGCTCACGGTGGAGCCTCGTAGCTCAGGCGGTTGGGCTGTTGGCTGTATTAAAGCCGGGAGACCATTGTGGACCAGGCGGCACAAACCAGACCTAGTCATGAAAATAGTCCTCCCCACACGACACAACGATATAAATGTTCACACGTTGCTGCACTCTAGCAGTCTCTGATGATGAACTCCAGTTCGATTTCGAAAACTACGGCCAATAAATCTACCGTTCCAGTGATCGTGCCTTCATTCTATTTTAAATAAGAATCTGGGATGCGCATATTATCTTCCATTCGTGAAAGCCTTCCCCTTGTTGCCGTGGACTGGAATCCTACCGAGGTGGCCGGGGTCTTCACGGATGGGTCGAAAAGAATGCGGCAGTATATAGTTTTAGTAAAACGTCTTGATAAAGCCGTTCAGCGATCTTGGAGCAGAGTTGCAAAAGTGACTTCTTTGAGGCATCGCGTAGGAGGCAAGCATTTATGTAGTGAAATGCTTTTAAGCACGACATATTTAGTCTCACAAAGGGTTATAGTTCGAAAAACCGTGTGAGACGATTGTGTGAAAACTGTGTACAATCTGAAATGCTGATATTACTTAGGTCTGTCTACGAAGCCTGCTACCTACGCTGGCTAGGAAATTGGGAACACTTTTGAGGAGTTCCTTTCCCACAGATAAATAGTTGCGAACCGCGACATTCAGGGAAGGGAAGGGGAAATTTTATGCAGCCAGCTCGACCGGAAATCGAGTGGTCACAGGTTTGTTTTTGCCTTAGGAAAAACATTTATTTACTGGGTCAGTTTGTTATTTTTTTAGCAATTGACACCTTACTGATTCCTATTCAAGGTCATGGTTGTTCGCCCAAGGGTGGGGAGAACATTGAGGCAGTCGCTGTTTCAGGCAATTTGCAATCTTCTTTTCCCAGCTTTAGTGCGATAAACGCCTTCGATCGACAAAAACAATACTTTGCGTTTAATTGCCTAGCGATTTCAAATCGATAAGTCAGTACTGCCGTTTCCGCCTCATTACTATAAAACAGATCGACGAGGGGCTCATCTCGCGATTGAAACGCTTCCGTTGTAGGTTCCATAGCTTCCGCAGCTACCCGTCTTAGAACCCAAACTTGTAATGCAGTAAGCGACGAGATCCGAGCACACATTCAAATTCGATGAGGCCGAAATTCTCGAAAGAAGTGACAACCGAGTGAGCCGGGAGCTACTGGAATCATGGTTCACTGGCCCCCACTCCATTAACAAGTGCGATGCTCTTCCCCTTCCACACTCTGTGTTTAGACTTCGCTTAGGCGGAGTAATTGGCCAAGCGGGGAGCGCACAGGTGAACACATTTTCAAACACCATGGTCGGTGCGTCAGATGGTCGAGCAATCATCACAGCAACATCCAGCGCACGTGACGAGAGTACGACAATGAACGACGGTCATCAAACAGTCATCGCACCAAGTGCAACGATCCCGGATGAAGGCGGAGCCGTGAATGTTCATAGGTATGCAGTAGCATGGCGACTGCATCGCATAAATACTGCAGTCTCTTGTGCATGGACCACCCGTATATGCTTTTGTCTCTGATGATGAGTTCGATCAGGAATCCGAAAAGTCAGGCTAATGAAGCTTTTGTCCCAGTGATCGTGTCTACTTCTTCAATGTATTAAGCGATCGCACAAATGGTAGTGCCGTCTAGACATCACTCCGTCTAACTTCCCTAAGGGTATTCCCAACAGTCATCCACTGGGGTTAATAGCTATTCAGTTGTGATTGGAGCATTGCGGCGTGAGGGGTGGGGGTGGGGGAGGGCGCAACTGTATTACCGTGATTTGAGCTGGAGTTGGCACTGTTGGCGGTGAGGATCGAGGGAGTCAACGGCGACTTCGGAGTGCCGGAGGAGTTGCCGCCGGGACTGGTCAGGCTCTCGGCCAGGAGAAGCTGCGAGAGATTGGACTGCAGAGAACTGCGTAGGCTCTCCAACTTTGCGACGCTTGGAATGAACCCCAGGGGGGCGCCAATCCGAACTGCCCGACCGATCCACCAGTTCTGGCCGAAGCGCTTTTTGATGTGCAGAAACTCCCGCGGTTTGAAACTCACCACCCGGTTGGGAATGGGTGCATCGAGGCCGTGAAGGACACCATCGAATTCGATGTTGGTACGGACGGCGAATGCAATGGGAAGGGTCTACAAAGAGGGCAGAATGAAGTGTCGTCCTATTATTATTATTATTATTATTATTGGAAACGACTCCGTCAAGTGTATGGTATGTAAGCCCATTGAAAAAACTGCAGTTAAATACAACATTAATGCCAACCGTGACTACGTCTTCAGTCGGTAACCCTGACCCTTAATCTCTAAGCAGGAAACTCGAACGTGACGACAATCACTGCTCGATCTTTAAAACCTTAACTCCTAGCCATAACCCTCAAACCCTAACCTGAACTCGAAATCCCAACCC